AAAAATGGTATATAATATAAGAATGCTGAAAATGACGCTAAGACATGTTTAGCTTTATTAACGGTTAAATAACTTAGGATGCAAAGTCAGGAAGTGAACCAGTTGTTTGAATTCAAGGAACATACACTGTACTTTAAAACGTCGGTTGAAAAGTCATTGATTAAGTTATTGATAAAGTCATAAAGATCAAATTTTTACTTCACATTCAAAACTGTATTTAAGGGCAAAGCATAAGGGTCAAGTTCAAGGTCACAGTTTGTCTCTGAATTATAATTTTGTATTAAGTCTTCCGAACAATATCAAAGAATCGAGAACACCAGCATTCGTTTATGGCAAATATTAAATTCACGGGTGATACGATTCCAAACAACCAAAATATTGAAAATTAATGTAATTCAATTTTACAAGAATTCTAAGGAACAAACATCAATGATATAGAGACATGTGAAATTGGCAATGCCTGTAAAGTAAACGGGTTTACTTTACACATAATTAAATTACATGACATAAAGAATACATATACTCCATTTTTACAAAATCATTGTTTATTAGTTAGCCGTGGCATCGTTCCTATGCAAGCTGTCAAGCAGATAATCAGTACTATTTGCTTTCACTTTAGCAAGGAACTGATAACGTCTGTACATGCTAGAACAGAGGTTCAGTGCGAACGATTGAAGAAAGGATTTCATTATCAATTACAACAAAAGTGGTCTGCACCGTCCGGAAACCCGGATCGCCCGATCAACAATCCAACTTTTTTGAGCTGATCGGACGATGTGGGAATTGTACCTAAAGGATGAAAAATATATACAATATGGAATAAGTACATTTCAAATATACAAATATAAATATGTACATTAATTACTACGAATGAATTTTTTTTTGCTTTAAATTTAGAACTTTATGCATTGGTATTCCGACAATAAATAAAACTAATCGTTTTTCACATAAAACATTACATATTCCTCTATGAAGTTTATCTGCTTAGATCTTTAAACCCCTATCATGTAAAATTTATCCATTTCAAAGATTCTTTGAAAAGATACAGCAATAATAAAATCAGCAGATGGAGTTCGTTCACAAGTTCTCTGATTAAGACTGATAAAGGAAATTGGATTGATTGAACTTTCATGTACTTACATTACATAAAGTGCATATGTTTTAATGTAAACAACTGAGAAATAAGACACTTCTTGTTGCATTAATTCTAGAAGCGGTATTGATTGTATAAATTCTAATACATAGAAGAAATGGCAATTTATTTAAGGACAAATATTATAAAATTGATTATGTTTGTATATGCACTTAAAGCTGTGTATTGTAGTGTTGATGGTGATGTACACGATAAATCGCCATCGGATCGCATAGATGATCTGTTTACTGAAATAAGGTAAGTGCTATTTTAGTTTACACTTAAAATATACTATGCTTAAATTTGATATTAGGAAATATTGATTAATTGCTACACAGTCTCTTTGTTAATATAAAATGTAAAACAAATAGGTTTTGACTTCTCCTACAATATTGACCCGGTAGATTCCTTAAACGTTACTATCTACTTGTAAATCGATATGGACGTATATAAGCAATTGTCAAATGGTCTTAACTAAAACAAATCCCTTTATCATGGGCTTTCTTGTTGATAAAAACAACCAATTTACTAATTTAATGTAAAAAAATGAAATTTACGTCAGTTGTTCTTCCAAGGACACATAATCTGTGGGTCCAGAATGCACGTGACGGTGTACGAGCTTGAGCACTTGAAAGCTTTATAATCGAAATGTGGGTTGGATAAGGAGCAAAAATGTCCCTTACTGCTGCAAATGTCCTTGTCCTCGAAGCGGTACTAGATGAAGCATCATCACTGGTCGATGAATGAGTTGACTCCAGGGCAGCAGCTGTCTGTCTTAGTAGCTCTAAGGCTCTTTGTTAACTTATCTGTTTAAAATATTTATTTAGGAAATAGATCATAACTGTGTGTGTGCAACTTCTATAGTTTCACACAGCATGATTTTGAATTCATGCACATTTATCTGAATGCACAAGTCACAGATCTGAGTCATAAATTAAAATGCATAATAAAAAAAAAAATTGTGATAAATGAACAATAAAGCATGCACAATTAGGATGTGTTCCTTGTGATAAAGGGGATCAATATCTTAATGTTATTTTATTGCATAGTTACACAAGTTACTAAATTAACTTTTTGCTGCTGATAAAGCAACAGTTGGAAACTGGTCAACTTGTACCTAAGTCAACTCGTACCTTAGTCTTTTAGTACCAGTACCTGAGTCAACTCGTACCATAGTATTTTTTCCATATTTATTCTGAGATTCTTATCAATACTAGTATATAACTTATAAGCTACCATGTGCCGACACAATTAAACAAATTAAATCAGCCTTTGATAAAGATATATATATATATATATCAATTTTTCACACTAGAACTAATTGCGTTACCTAAGTATCAGTAATCACCTTACCTAAGTATCAGTCATTAAATGTTCCTAATTTTAATACAATATCAGGGTTTTTTCTCAGCTAATTTCATGACCGATTTGGGTAAAGTGCCCAAATGAAAATAGTACCTTTTTCTACAATTCACAGCCAAAAATTCCCAGCTGAAACTTCAATAAATAAAAATTAAAAAATATGGTACAAACATGTACCTTGATGTTTTACTGTGATAAACCTGCAATGATTAAATGTCCTTATCATAGACAGTTATTGTTTGATTTCACCAATATAGGTACAAGAAGACTATGGTGTGAGTTGACTTAGGTACGAGTTGACCAGAAAGCCAACAGTCGCTGTTGGATATGTTTAGATTATTGATTTGAAAGTGACAGACCTTTCCGCCATATTGAAGATTGTAATACCAAACTATCATATAGCTGCTTGATTTTTAATATATGCTTTTTTGAAAATTATGAAACTGATGTATAAATAGCTAAAGCGAAACCGAAAGTAGCTGCAATTTTTCTGTCAATTGCCAGGTTCATCTACTTTGTTAAAAATAATTCACTATCGTTTGAACATTGGGTACATCGGTAATAAATTGTGAGTAATGCCATGCGTCTAGCTCCCTAACACTTTCCTCACGTATAAGGCTATTAGTGAAAGTTATTTAAATTAACTTGAAATCTGTAATGCGTTCCGAAAGCTGTACAGTATAGATGGATACCGAAAATAAGCTATTTTCGCGAAAATAAGATCGCGGCTACAAAAATAAGATTCATTTTTTAAATAGTGCATAGTTCTGAAAATTTATTTGCTGTAAAATCAGTCAATGGATGCAATAATATATGAGTTACATAATTATTTCAACAGATATTTTGGACGGACTCTTATCTGGTCATTTTATTTATGCAATCATTGAATGATTTTACAGCAAATAAATTTTCAGAACCAAACAAAAGTATTTAAAAAAGTGAAGTTTGAGCCGAAAAACCAATCATACGAAAATAGCTCAAATTGCCGTGTAAAGCGAAAATAAGATCCATCTAACCCTTCCGAAAGTCATATCCGAGTAGTCCTCCGGTTTATAATTTTTTGCTATGTAATTATCTATTTATGCTTAATTAAAAGTATATGCTTAACCGTATTATGTCTTTAAAATACTGGACACTATCAGCTGACCGAATTTTTGGAAATGTTTTATTTTGACAATGACGATATACACACTTTGCGTTGTTCCAGATCCTTTTGAAGAGGAAGTTTTCACATCCACACCGCAAGGGAGAAGTTGTTTAAAAAAGACGCCCTCTGTCTGAAGAAAACGTTCAGTTGAAGTTGGTTCCCAGCTTCGTATTATGACAACGTCATATTTTTAATGAATTTGATGTTGTTAGCTTTTCAACGGACGAATGATGCTTTGGTCGTTTTTATTAAATGTTCAGCAGTTTGTTTCAAATATTAAAACAAACCCGTTAGATTAATACCGAATAAACAGTTGAACATTCTACGCTTTTCATTGTGGAGTGTAAAGTACAAAGTACCTTTATTCAAAATCTAATAACAAATACATTCTCATAATTATACTTAACAAAAAGCACCAAAGTATCTCAAAATGCCGTAATAATTATTGACTTCAAAATAAAGCAATAATTTCAGCACAAATAAGACAACAGTAATTCAAATATTGTAAAAGTAAAATATAAATTGGATTGCCATAAAGCATATTGAGTGAACTGGCGGATATCCCCTTCCATACTAAACATAACTTAGATTATACAGAAACACTCTTTTTGCCTTAATAGACATAATTATGCTCTGCCATTTTGAACATAGATCATTTGCTGGTAAAATGAACAATTGTCTACATAATCAAATCCTTTAACAACTTAAATATTTTTACCAGAATAGTGCCAATGCTCATGTTCCTCATTTTTGTTTTGTCTATAAAGTTTATATTGATTACAAAAATATTAGAGACAATTGAGCTGTCGTTGAAGACCAACGATAGTATCAGATACAGATGCTATATCATCTGCAAACATAATCATACATATTTCCAGAGTATCAGGATACAATTGAATACCCCTTATATTATTTCTTAAAAACAAACCATGTTATTCATTAATATATAATGCAAATAATATCGGACTTAGACTACTGCCTTGACGTAGTCCTGTACACATAGGGCAATCAAAAATATCAGAAACTTCAGATTTAGATTTAACAAAGCTTTTAACCGATACATTAATAGTTTTAATTGTGTTATACAAAAAAGAAACAACCAGTTATTTTGTTTTTACGTAATATATCATATATTTTAATCGTCCGATCTATAGAATCAAAAGCTTTCTGAAAATCGATGACAGCTACATAAACAGGCTTTCGTTTCTGTTGGAGATACAATAGAGTATAGTATTAAAACATTGTCAGTAGTGCAATAATTTTTCCTAAAACCTGCCTGGCATTCTGAAAGCTTTTCATATGCCTCAATATAAAAAGTAATTCTGTTGGTAATAATATTAATATATACTTTGCTTATGACATCAATAAATGATATTCCTCGATAATTATTAGGGTTTAACAAATTATCTTTTTATGAACAGGTATAATTACACAATGACACCATTTATCAGGGAATATTTCAGAAATAAATATCTTATTAAATAATTTGCACATATAAGGAAGAAGTAGAGTATCTAAACCATAAATGATATGCAAAGGTATTAGTGTGCCTCCAGTTGCCTTGTTAGACTTTAATGTTTTAACAGCTTCATTTACTTCATCCTCAGATATTTGGCTATTAAACAGAAACTTCTCAATCTCATCTAAATAACATATTCCATCTGAATTAACATCTTCAGTAACTCTAGCCTGTAAATGTTCACTAATACCTCCATCAATATCAGCAACAGAAAACAACTGTTTAAAATGATTAAACCATTATCTATACTTACAGGTGAATCTCTGTTACCTGGTTTTAATATATATTTTTTTTTTCAAAATTCTTTGGAGTTTTTTACGGTTTTATCAATATCAGCTATAAATTGTTTTCCATATGCATATCTTTTTTGTCTAAATATATTTTTTATGAATGCTTATTGTAAATATAAATGTTTAAATTATCCAAACTTGGACAATCTGAATTTTCGCAGTGAAGACCTAGAAACTTTACGGGCAATTTTACATTCAGCACCAAACCATGCCCGATTTTGTAGTCTATGGATTTTGTTATGTTTACTATACAACAGAGATTCATTACAAAAACTGACAATCTTCTCAAATACATCAAATTAAGTAAAATATTTACAACATTACAATGTCCATACAATGAGTCTAACCTGTCAAACAGATCTGACTTCTTAGCATCACCAAGAGTAGATGAATATACAGATTTACCATTATTTTTAAAATTATATGCTGTAATAGGTATATTTTCAAAACTTCTACCAGAGTTAATGTTCGGGTGAATTATCAAACACAATGAGAAATGTTTACTTTCAATCACATCTAAAACTTTAAAGTCTACAATTAAATCATAAATATTTTTGGATGCCAAACAATAGTCTACAACACTGCGCAAATGTAAAGTTTCCATATGAACCATCTGTATTTTCAGTTAACAGTCTACCATTATACATGTAACAAGAATATTCTTTACAAAATTTAATCAAATGTTTACCATCATTATTTGTAATGTTATCTTGTGAGTGTCTTTCAATTGCAATACCACTTTCTCATACATCTCTAACATCTTGAAACTCTGGTCCATCATAATATGACACATAATCAACAAGAATACCAATTCTAGCATTAAAATCACCACAGATTAACATTTCATATTGTGTCAAGTTATCATCTGATATATAAGACCTTCTGATCAGTGGTCCGGCATCTATACCAATACACCACAACTCATTGACGTTTGAAGTTAACAAATATATCGATATATTGACAAGATAACAGCATTTATTCAGTGACCTTTTCGAAAATTTATGAAGTGCCAGCAGCCATTTTCACAAAAAATCTTACGACAATTTTTATCGTAAGTAAAAAGTTGGAGGACAAATATATATTAAGCTAACAGTATGCTATAAATAACACAAATTGAGGCATAATTATTTATCAACATAACATTTGTGACATCATGATTTGATGACGTCACGATGGTGAGGGTTATGAATAGTTTAAATGTGAACTATACTGTAGTATTATTGAAAACTAATAATTTGTAGATTTGGTGAGTTCGATTTCATTGCCAGCATGTACTAGTGGTACCTTTTTATTTATTAATAACATAGTAGACCTTGTTTCTGAATCTTTTAGATATATATATATAATTATCTTCAATCAAGATATAAATTATATCAGTTTGAATCATGTTTTTGTTCTTATTGAAATTTGTTTGTGTTCAATAGATATTTCAAGCTCTTGATTACTTGATTTTAAAACCGGAATCAAATTTAGAGCATGCATAACACTATCAAATGATCGTTGCTAGGGATGTTTTTGTCGTAAGATTTATCGTAAGTGAATTTTTTATCTTAAGATAAAATTTTAACTTACGAGTGGCTTTGTGAAAATGACTTAAGATTTAACTTACGATTATCGTAAGTGAAAAACTTAAGATAAATCGTATGATTTTTTGTGAAAATGTCTGCAGGTCAATAGTGTTTGACAATAGATATGTTTAAATTCTACACACCATAGGTTAACACAATATGAATATATATAGATCTAGTCTCAATAAAAAACAAAACAACAACAACAAAGGAATTGGCATTTAAGTAAAGAAAAGACCAATTATTTTGAGCTGTAATAGGTTTTATTCAAATTAGACATTTTCAGTAGGAATTTCATAAATTTCCGTAATTAAAATATTTTACTCAAGGATGAGCAGAGTATGTCTTTCATAAGACTTAATAGAGTTACGATTACGTTTAAATAAACACCGATGTTAATTATTACAAAGCTTTTAGGGTTTCATATGAAAACAAGACGATTTGGAACTTTGTTAAAGATTAAAAAAAAATCATATTATTCAGCAAAATTTTATGTAACTGCTAGATTGTTTTGCATATATTCTTATTAAAAACATTTGAAGTCTCGCAAGATGTAAAACTAATGGTCTAAATTTAATAATACCTAAGAATTTCTTTATATTTTGCTTTGCATTAATGACTTATGTGAACCTTTGTTTATTTTTTTTATACACTGTACCGTTTGTTATTCTCTAACAAAAGTATCTTGCACAGAAATTGCATTTTCTATTGTGAATGCTTGTGAACACTTTGCATGTTGCGTTGTCGATAACGCCAACACAACCTATATTGTCATCGTCTTTTCGTCTTGTCGCTAGCCAAACGCGAACAACGGTGCGTTGGCGCACTGTCGTCTTGTCGTCCTGTCGTTAGATAAGCACGCCAAACGGTACATTGTCGTGCAAAGCGTTGTCGCGATTTCGCCAATCCTTTGATTTGAGCCGACAGACAATGTGACGTCGCGTTAACACGCCGCACGACAACGCTCCGTTTGGCGTCCATTGTTAGCGACAAGACGGCAAGACGAAGACAACAACACGACGTACAAAAGTGTTCCAAATCAGCCACCATAATTTTCAATTATTTGTATATATTGCAAATATAAATGCTTTAAATATTTTTTTTCATCAGGGCTTTTCAATATACAATTGAATCAAAACTGAAAGAACTTAGTGAAAAAAGCTGCCAGCAATGCATTATAAGATTATTCGACCCTAACACAAAAGGAGACAAAGATTTGACTGATCATCTGAATAGAACAAGAGATAAAAACACGACCGTAAATAAAGATAATGGTAAACAGATGGAGGTCTATTCGGACGAACTCATGCATCGTCTTGCTGAATTAGAACAGACCAAGGGCTATATATACGGTACGATTTTATTTTTAATACGATCATTCTTATATATGCAAGTCATCCTCTGAAATGAGTAATATTAATGTATCTCCATTTCAATTATATGTAAAAAAGAAAAGAAAAAAAAGAAATTATTACTAAATTTTTATGCTCCCCGAAAAATTTCGGGGGAGCATATAGTCGCCGCCTTGTCCGTCCGTCCGTCCGTCCGCTTTTCTTGTCTTGGATATAACTTTGAAACAACAAGAGGTATCAACATGAAACTTTGTAGGTAGATAGATCTCATTGTGTAGGTGTGCAGTGCACAAGAACCGTAATTCTGCCTTGCTTTTTTTATTATTCCCTTTTGTTTAATTTTACACTTTGAACTTTGTCCGGGACATAACTTAATAAGTATAAGAGGTATCAACATTACGTGTGCAGTGCACAAGAACCGTAACTCTGCCTTTCCTATTTTTTAAATTAGTCACCTCTGTTTTTTTTTTACACTTTGAACTTTGTGAGGGACATAACTCTAAAAGTACAAGATGTATCAAAATGAATCTTTGTAGGTAAATAGATCTCATTAAGTAGGTAGGCAGTGCACAACCGTAACGTAACTCTGCCTTGCCTAATTTTTAAATTATTGCCCTTTGTTTATTTTTACACTTTGAACGGGACATAACTCTAAAACTAGAAGAGGTTACAACCAGAAACTTTGTAGGTAGATAGATTTCGTAAAGTTGGTTTGCAATGCACAAGGACAGTTACTTTGTCATGCCCAATTTTTGAGTTATGTCCCTTTGTTCATTTTAACACTTTGAACTTGGTCCTGGACATCACTCTAAAATAATAAGAGATATCAACATGGAACTTTGTAGATAGATAGGTCTCATGGGGTAGAAGTGCAATGTTAAAGATTCGTAACTCTGTCTTGCCTTATTTTGAAGTTATTACCCTTTGTTTTTTTTACTTTTAGAGTTTTTTCCGAGACATAACTCTAAAACTTTTAACTATGAACTATTAACATGAAACTTTGTAGGTAGATAAATATCATTATGCTTAAATAACATTAACAAAGCCTTCTATTTTTTGAGTTATTTCCCTTTGTTCATTTTTACACTTTGAATTTTACATGGGACATAACTCTGAAACTATAAGAGATTTCAATCAGGAAACTTTATAGATAGATGGATCTCATTGCATAGAAGTGCAGTGCAAAAAACATAACTCTGCCTTGCCTAATTTTGGGGTTGTTGCCCTTTGTTCATTTTTTTATACTTTCCTGTGTCGGAGAGCATCACCCGGTTCAACCGGTTCTTGTAATGGGAAGTGTTGAAAATAAAAATATGGCCCTTTTTATTGACGTCTTACCCTAAATTGAATGATATGATGTGGGTTATAAAAAATGAGTGAAAATTTAGTGACAACGAACTTAAAGTAGTAGAACAAGTGTCTTCTGGTGAGATATGTAATGGAAAGATTTGTACGAGGGGGCGTAATTAATTAGATTGCCGAGTGTTTTGATGTTCTTTCTCTTTTGTATCATAGCCAAACATAAAAACACGTTCACTGTTGTCACAATATGAAACCCCCAAAATGGGAACCAATGAACGAGCATCCGAATATCGCTTTCCCTTTCTCTGCCGTCTTAATTTGTAAACCCCAGCAAAAATGAGCCAATCAATGGGCTGCTCTGGAGTGCGGGTAAAAACTAATACCTGCACTCCAATTAACGCACTGTGCATGTATATGTATACGATTTAACTCTGACACATTTTCAACGGAAAAGTCCCCAAACTATGATACAAGTAATCATATTTGCTTATGTACATTCCTGTAACATTTCTTAGTTTGAACATATTTTATTGCAGCACATACACGTACAATTTAGAAATAAAATCTATCTCAGGGTTTTTTTTAGCTATTCAACACCGGTTAGGAGTTTTGATGAGTAAGAATTGACCGCGAAGATCTTTTCGCGTCGAAACGACAAAACCGGTGTTAAATATTCGATAAACAGCGCTCAAGCCGATATTATTTCAATTCTAACAAGACAAAATGAGGAAGATAGCTGATACCTTTTTTAAAGCGGAGATTACTTCCGCTGCCGATATTCGTATATCGTCTTTTTATTTGCACCGTACTGTCACTAAAATATTTAAAAAGTCAGTTTCAAATGTCTACATTCTGGCGCATAATCGCAACTTTTCGACCCTTTCCGTCAGTCACCGGATAATGACCTCCAACACAAAAGTATGAATACACAGAACGAAAACGGTATTATGATTTAACCTACGCTGTGAAACTAATAGTAATTTAATGCTGAGAGTTGTTGACAAGTTTTATCCAATATATCAAGTAAATGTCGACCTAAAATTAGTAAATTCATAGATGTAATAGTGAGCAATACATTATTTATATCCCTATTACTATGGTAAGTACAAAATGCTAACCTGTTGACATTGAGCCGCAATTGTTTAAAACTGTGCATCATAGGTTATATTTCAATTAAAAATTGTTGTCAAACATGTCAATCATAATTGTACTTAAAGGTACTTTACTTTATTTCCTTTGGATATCAAATATATATACATTCGTTATACATTACCGAAGATTACAGTCTCTGTCTGTTTTGTTTATATCTGCAACCACGTGGTAGAACTACTTTTAATCGGTATTGTTTCCGAGGTTATTATAGATAATAGCCGAGGACGTTCCGATTGTCAGGCGCATTTATGAATGAGTTGAATACTTGGGCTGACGTCATTACGCTGCCTACGAATAGGCACCGATTTGTGTTATAGATTTTATGAAGTGATATGGATCAAATCTGTAGCGTAAGTGTATGTGAGATATTATTTCAGCATTGTATGAAAAGAAACAGAATGGTTTAAATGATATGCACGGTTTATAACAACAATCGAAAATGGTTTGGCAACTAATTCTTACAACAATAGATTAAGCCTTTCCCAGAATATATTTCGAAATATTTTATGACTGCATATTCAATTTTAAAAATAATAGCAAAATCGTTAATTATTAAATGTTTACAGTGTAATCTTTGGAAAGATACTTCGTCCGTCCGTTCGTCCGCTCGTTCGTGCATCATTCCGCCCGTCTTACTGTCCTTCCATATATCCATTCGTCTGATCGTTATTCAGCACACATTTATTTTCCTGAGCGTAACTGAAAAAAAAACATTGTGTATTTAAGATATTAACTTAAATAATATATTTCATTTGTACACATGAATGATTTTTTTGCTATTTTAAAATTCCTAAGTGCCCTTTTGAAAAACATTTTGTCCACCGGTTATCTTGAAAAGTATTTGAAATATCAGCTTGAGTAAGAAGATACATCTCATTCAAAAGGAGTTCAGTGTGCAAGATAATCGTTTCGTTTCATTTTTGCCCTGTGTTTTCCCATGTTTAATGATTTTGTAATTTCCCATGTTTATTTTTTTAGTAAGAGCAGAACTCGAATATTTTACGAGATATCACTTTGAAGCGGCTCAGTTGGATATATCTGAAGATAACTCTACCCACCATACCGTTATCTTTAATTAATATCCCATTATCATTTATCAGTATTAAGATAAGAACTTGAAACTTCATTGATGGACAGATCTTATGGATTAGGAGTTCAATGTTTGAGAATAATAACTCTTCTTTTAATCATTATTGTCAAATTATTGCCTTCTGTAATTTTTTTCTGATTATTTTTACTCAAGAATATAATTCGAACAATGTTTGGAATACCAACTTCATACTTTATTGGCGACGCCGGTGAGCGGCGTCGTCTCTTATGGAATGCTTTTTATTTTGGCCTATGGAAGGAGCTGTTATTATAAGCAGTTGATGTCATGTTGTGTTAATTAGTTTTATTTTGATTCGTAAAAATCAAGTAAACAAATATGTTTTTATATTTGTATTTAATTACTTCATGTAAATAGCATGTGCATTGTGATATTATTTTCTCGAAATTGCAGGCCCAGTTTAACAGCTTGTTCCTCAGCTTTATTGATAATACTAAAAACCCGAATTTTGAATATCGTTGTTGTGTACATATATGCCGTATTCTCATTTATTCATTCATGTTTTTCAAAAGTTTCCAACAAGAAGAACGTTCACCTGCAAATGAGTATTAGGATAGGAATGGAACTGTTGTAAACGGTTATCCTATTGATTTTATCCATAATAGTAACGTTAATCTATTGCACAGAATGATTTTCTTTACAAAGTGTACCTGTATCCGGATGTTGAAAGCTATCCGATTTTCTGCAATAACTGCTGTCACATGACCATTTAACTTTTTATGTATACTTACTACCATTGATTTACATGGCTTAATAACTGAGCTTGCAACATTTCATAACTTTGCTGTTAATGTTGTTCTTTTAGGTTTCAGGTTTTCTCTATCTTAAGGGGAAGCAACTCATGTTTACTCAATTATTTGTTCTTTTCTGTCTAACTTAGGTATTACTTACTATTTTTGTTGTATAAAATTTACCAGTTGTAAGGTCATCAAAAGCATAGAGACCCTGAGGAGTGAATATTGATAGATTTTTATTTTACTGGCTTATAGACTGGATTTTTCTAGTTTGTTCAGTTAGTACATACCTACAGGTATTCTGCTACAGGAATCTTCTAATCACTATGTGAAACTAATTATTATTTTCTATGTGTTTGTATATAAATTGTTAATAAAATAACCTTTGGTAAAAATGAAAGGTAGAAAATTAAAGCTATGCATATAGGTGCTCATGTCCATATATTAAAACAGAAAAAGGATAACATCCTGAAGTTATCAATTTTAAACACTTGATATATATGCAGTTTGTTATATAGTAAAGTCTAATGGAAGGTTAAAAGAGGGACATTATTTGTTACTGTAAGAGATATGCATTTGATGTTTAGACACTCATACAACTCAAATTTTATTATATGATATAGACTACAGTTTGTACAGTACTATACATTATAGTTTTTTTCTACAAGATTATTAATTCCATCCAAGTACCAATATTAATAAGATGGTATATTTATTTTTAATGTAATGTGCATACATTTGTATCTTAGTATATGGATATAATGTGTATTTCTGTATTTAAAGACTAAAAGTTATGATCGATGAGACTTGCATTTAAATTTATAAATGATAATACATGTATTGATTAGTCTACATGTTATAGGTGTTTATACCCAGTGTTAGCTGACTAAAAATAGTATCTATACTAGAGTTTATAAATTATAGTTTTATTTCAACTAGACTTTAAATTCCATCCATTAGTACCAATGTTAATGTTAATGTTAGGATTTCATATTTATTTAATTTAACATGTGCATAGTTTGAAAAGGACAACTTCTGTCATATCTATTTGTAATGTAGGGACACCGGTTTCAACCTCCAGGTTTCCAGAGTCAACCCACAACAGACTTTTCATGAGCAGATTGTTACTTGCCCTTGAATAAAGTTGTGCACTAAATTTTATAGCGGGTGATTTGTGCCACATGAAAACCAACAAAGTACAAAAAATGACCGGGCGCCAGGTGAAAACATGAAAATACAAAGTGGTTCGGTTGTTGCATTTTCATGTGTTCGCCCGGTGCCCCTGATGCAAAATACAAATCAGCCTTCATAAAATTTCGTATCTTAGAATAAAGGTTAGTTTTTATCTGTGGAAAAAAAGATATTGTACATGTATTAGTACAACTTTGTTCACTTTCAAATTGACCTGTTATAAATGATGGCACAACCATTAACTGTCTAATCCCTTTTTAGTAAAACTAATTATACAATATATAAATTGTAATCTGACTAAGACTATGAGTATGTAATTTATTTTGAGTATTTAATTGTTTATTTAAGAATTAATCTTATTGTTAATTAAAAAATCTAAAAGTATCTTTCATTGTTTAGAACTGTTCACTATTTAGGGGAGAAAATGTGTAAGCGGCCAGATAGCTCAATGACTACAGCTGCGGTACATAATTCTGTTGGTCACAGGCTCGAGTTCTGGTCAAGCTGTGTAGCTTAGTTGGTCTTCTGACAGTCATGGGTTCGAGTCATGGTCAGGCAGTTTCAGTCAGGGTTTAGAAGTGTTTTTTCAACTGACACATGTTTGATTGATGTAACAGATTGTATTAAATTTAAAATGGACGAATGCAGTATTGCATGGTACTTTTAGATCTACAAAAGGCATTTGATACAGTTGATCACACTACACTGCACATGAAGAAGTTCTTCTTCTTCTTCTTTTTCATGAAACTTCAAGCATCTGCCATAGGTAATAACATTCTCACATGGTTCAAGTCTTATCTCTGACAACAGCTCGTGGATGTGGCTTGTACTCATTCTACTACTACTCTGAGTACCTTTCGTGTCCCCCAGAGGTTCATTTTAGGTCCTCTTTTATGTCTAATATATGTCAATGACATGTCTGCAACCTTAAGCAATAAGCTTCTATGATATGCTGATGACTCAGGTATCCTTGTATCTGGTAAAATAAATCTGAAGAAATTCTCTCTTATGGCATGAGTCTTATAAGATTGGTTAATTTACTATTAATTGTCTTTGCATTATGGTGAGACAGTCTATTGTTTTGGGTTCAACTTTGAACTTAAACAGGGTCCTAGTTTATAGGTCACATGTAATGGCACTGATATAAAGTACACATCTTTTGTTAAGTATTTAGGTGCAAAACTTGATCAATGTTTTTTTTAGCGTCGCCTTTGACGCTTTGCATCAATGCTTTTCTTGTAGGTGAATGGATCTCTTTAAGGTGAAGTGTACTGCGCAAGTACAATAACTGTTTATTTCATTCCTATCATAAGCTACTGCCCTCTGTGTCTGTGTTTGCATACCTTTTGTGCAGACCATAACTCAAAAAGCTTTAGAGATAAAATTTGTAATTCGAAACTTCATTCGAGGATAAATAACAGCAAGAAGGAATGCAGTTGACAAAATAACTCAACAAAAAACGGAGTTTATGCCGAATTTTACTTTTCTTGCTTTATTTGCAATTGTTCTTTCTTTTTGTCCGGGCTTATCTCAAATATTGAATTGTTTTAAGTGAAAAGGTCTCCAAACCTGTACTTGTGCTATTGCCTATATAAATGTCAGTGTGTATAATGAACTTTCTTCTTTTATATTAATTTTTGTCCTTTCCGGCTGGTAATTTGACAGTCTAAGACTGCTTTTTGTTCTGAGCGGAAATAATAAACAAATTATGGTTATTTCAAATGCTTGCTTATCTTGTTCTAGCACCACCAAAAGTGATTCCTGAAAAGGGGAAGCGGGGTTCTAAAGGATCACCTGGATTTCAAGGACAACCAGGAATACCAGGGCGACCAGGAATTCCTGGATATGATGTATGTCAATTAGATAATAAATAATATCAACTAGTTTCAGAATATCAAAAAATTAAATATAACTAAGTACAATAATTGTTCTAGCATAACGTTTTAGTGAAGTTTACGATACATACGATAAAATCTCGTATTATCTAGACTATTTTATCTTATCAATACTTTTATAAATCCCCTTTCGCAAAGCGGGGATGGATCATAGGAATTGCCTCCCTCTAACTGTTCATCTGTGTGTCTGTCTGACCGAGCTTAAATGTGGATACTTATGTCGCAAAATAAGTAAGAGGTATGATCAAAAAGTTGTCGGCCGATATACTTTTAGCCACTACACAGACATTTACTCACTATACTTATTTAAAGATAACTGACCAAGTTACTTGCGGTTTTACACAGATTAAGTAACATAAAACACACTCTGATCAGTAGAGGGGGTGTGTCATTTAGACAAAATTGAGAAAGTTGAAACTAGAGCTGTCATAAGATATGAATGTCCGCCAAGGAAATCCATGGCAACTACATGGATACACTTGGGAGGGGAGTCCCCTTCTTATAGCACTTTAAAAAAATGGACTGCTGAATTTAAGTGGGGCAGGGAGAGCATTGCAAATGATGAGCGGCTTAAATCTTTTGGGACAGTCAGGGGATAATCATGGCAAGGTCTTACTATAAACGGTACGCACTTTGCAGACGAATTGAGGTGTCTGCGTAAAGAAATCGCACGTAAAAGGTGGGGCACACTGGAAGCAATAAAGGTGTCTTAAAGGCTCTCAATGAGAGCTTTATTTTGAAGGGGTATACAAGTTGGAGCACAGGTGGGCAAACTGCACTGATGTAGAGGGCGATGATATTGAAAAGAAAGACCATTAGTTAAGGTACTCTGACAAACGGAAGTGCATCGGGCAAAGGACTTTTTAAAAATCCACGTAACTGTACTTTCTCTTTGAAGTCGTTCATCCCTTTTAAGGCTTAGTGTGGCTATTTTTCTAAATGTGGCTAAAAATACCAATAGAGAGAACAACAGAGTAGCCGCATTATTATTGTCTTATTATTAGTATGAAATTACGAGATATTAAGCTGTCTTTCAAATATCTACCAAAACGCAGAGAAAGAGTCTATGTCATTAAAAACAATAATAATAAATGGACAATTGAAACTTTAGATTGCGATGAATGACACATCGTAATATCTATCACATTTTCTTAAGAATGAAGAACAATTTAGAAAACAATTAAAAACTGTATTTTAAAAAAAAAAAAATAATAGAAAAATTGCAAATGGAACGAACCTAATTATCAAAATGTTTCGTGTATGTTCCCACAGTTTATATTCAAATGTACACATCTGAAAAAAAAGCTGACCGTTTAAATTGTCATTCGATGAAAGATTTTTTATTTATTTAGCAAAGTAGTTTAGTAGTGTTCAATTAGTGAAAGTGTTACAAGTCATGTTTTTAATATATTATATAACAGATAAAATGATTAAATTGTTGGAATTTATCGTTTAAAAATGTGCATTTGTACTTTTCATCACGTTCTGTTGTTTATCAACTAGGGATTACCTGGAATTCCTGGAAATCAAGGACGACCCGGCATGCCTGGTTCTAAAGGTGCAAAAGGAGAGCGAGGAGTTCCCAAACTCAGTCCCATTGAATTCAAATGGAAAAAGTAAAACCTCTCTTTAGCTCCAACAGAAAGATATATACTGCTCTTTCCTGATTGAACTTTTACAAATTGAACCATCTTCACGACTTATTTATTATATCATATTGGTAGTAATGTCAGTGACTCATTGAAACGTGCTTCAAGAAATTGATTTAATAAAATCATGTCATTTCTACTTAAGTTGCTAGACTATTTATTATTGTAGGTTGGTTATAGAAAATGTGAGTACATCAGTTATTGTTGCGATAATAGAAATGTAGCGAGGTTTACAGAAATCTTGGTCAAACCACAAAACGAAAATTTACGATAACTGAATTTATAACATCAGGAATAATATCATCAAATCAATTTTACTTATTGCTAAAATGTGTACACTACCTTTTACCTAATTTTGAACCTGTCTAACCTTTAAGTCATATTATGCATTAGACATGTATAAACTGTTCCTTCTTGAAATGATACTGTTTCAAAAATGGATTTAGAGCATCTTAGATTCTTATCACTTGGCAAAAGTAGCACTGGAATGTAATAATTACTTGTCATAAAATTAATAAAATGTACAAAAAGTAATTTCTTGACTTCCTTACAAAATACTTAATCAATGTAAATGTACAAGGGTTGTTCGGGAAGTTCTGAGAATTTTGTCATAACTCCTATATTTTTTGTTTCTTAGACGTAATATTTTGCACATACTAAGATTAGCATATCACGGAACTATTCCTTAAAATTGAATAGAATCAGACAACAATAGCCGGAAATAGCAGTAACGATAGCAACACTATAATGCCTCACCGGAGCAGTCCGACTCTAAAGAAAGGTATAACGCGCTACACTAATAATATTTCGTAATTTTGATAACGTAAAAAATGCGCGAAAACGCTGGTCAGCAGCGGAACGTCATGACATCATTTCTTGAAAATATCATAACTATCGTATAGCTGGTTGCACAGGCTAATGAGTCATACACGCTATATTCAAAAAGAATGACAAGTCAACATGTATATACATATATTAAGGTTTTTATTTCATAATGTGCACTATGGAACATGACATGATTTATGAGTATTATAGTTCAGGATACATGCGGACTGATCTTATGTCAAAATGATTAATATATGTAACTCTAAAACGTGTGTATTTATATACATTATAAAATGTCCTTATGACAGGTTGTCTTTATATATACTATTCTCAAATGTCAAAGAGGGGGAGTTCGACTTTGGTATTCCACTCGTTCACTTGTGTGTTTGTATTTGTATATTAAAAGTATGTAACATCCGTGAGTTCTTTCTCCGTTATACGACATAACGTTATTTAAATTCTCAACTGATCAACATTGTTTTAAAGTTGTTGCCCAGAGCCACTGAGTAAACAACATGATGTCTATAGGTGACGTTGAATTGCATATCATCGTAAAATTTTGTGTTGCGCTGGAAAAGTCTTCCACAGAAACAATGAAAATGATCAATTCTACAGGAAAATACAAGAAATGCAGTCCGGCTACAGTGTATAGATGGCATGCTCGTTTTAAAGAAGGAAGAAACTCGATCGAAGACGATCCTACAGCCCGGACCTCGCTCCGATGGACTTCCGTGTGTTCCCGGAGCTCAAATTACAGCTGCGTGGAAAACGCTTTGACTCAGCTGACGATCTTGTTAAGCATACGCAAGCTATAGTCTCGTCCTTTACCGATAGCTGGTACGTGGAAACATACAATAAGTGGATCAGCCGACACAGGAAATGCATCGAAATTGTAGGTGACTACGTTGAAAAGGTGCGACGATCGATGGACTTTAACGTCGCATAACGTTGCAATTGACGTCGGCGTGCTCCGGGTGTTTGTTATATGGTTATTTACTATTTTTATTATGTTTTAGTTTCTGTGTGTATGATGATGATATTTTCAGATACTGTACAGTATATATTGAAATAAATGCGTATATAATTATATTTACGCTAACCCGACTACAACGTGTGCTATAAAACAATTCTCAGAACTTCCCGAACAACCCTCGTACTAATTGCCAATAGCAGCAGAAGCAAAAGAAGATTCAAGTAATTTACCATTGGGTAATTGTTTGGAAATTGTTACAGGATTTCAGAAATAAAATACTTTGGAAAAATAAAAATAAAATCATTTATTTAGCATAGTAGGTCTTTAATTATGAATTCTATAATTCCTACATTTTATTTTGTCTGAACTTTATTGTTTTTCTATTTCAATAAGTAACCTTAACTTAAATCATTTTGCCTTCAGAAAATAACAAAGATCTATGGTTGTTTTAATATTTCAAAATCTCTCTTCAAAGAAATCGAAATGCCGCTTTAAAACGTTCATATTTTGACTTTTTTCAAATAATTGTTTTTTGTTTTTATTGCTCTTAAATGACATCATCTTTAAGTTTATAGAACTGTTATGATTAACAAGAAAGAAATATTGGGACCTTTATGCATATCAACAATTCTTTTCTACCAAAAGAAATATTGAATCGTTCAATGAGAATAAGTCCATAATTCTGTTGTACATAAATATTTCATCGGGGTTAAACATTTGTAAATTAAAATATCCCTTTTAATAGGTTAATCATTTTTCGATTGATTCCATTTCACGAAAAGTGATCATATCCAAATGGTTTAATGTTGATATAATAAAATGACTTGATTTTTAGCCTGCATTTATATCTAAGACCTATTAATTCCCATAGTGTATAGTTCAAGAATCAGAAATAAAGAGACTTAAACAAGTAATTTTAGAGAAATAGTTTTTCGTCCGGAATTTTTAAAAAGTGTAATGGTATTGGTGTTGTTAGTTTTCACATCGGATCACATTGAGTTGTAACCCTTTTTACAGCATACACATGAATGTGTTCCAGATTGTGCACGTTTATCGGTTTTCTGATTGTTTCAATATTTAAAAGTTACCATGCATTGAGAAAACAGATAAATTTCTCCTATTATCATCAATGGTGAAATAGAATAAATTTCATTATACTTCAAAAGGTATGAAGACCTGGTTCTCTTGGGCGTGGACTGTAGGTTGCATTTTCTACTATCGTCCGTAAACAGGCTCTGTCAAACTGAGCCTGCAACATTTTTATTTGCCGTTTTTGGCGTTATTTAGGGAATTTGTTATTCTATCTATTTTGAAGTCCACAAAACCACCAGATTTTTTTTTAAACAGGCGATGAAAATTAGACTAAACGGTTTTTCTGAAATATAATACAATATGTTGGGCAAGCTTAATTATCAAAGTTTAATTTAGAACTCCAAACTCCCCATATAAAGGTAAATAAATGACGATTTTTCAATCGAGGTCTCCAAGTATATAGAAAAGTTTTCCACAGAAATCTGTAACGTTTTCCAGGAACTCCGTGACAGTTATCATAAGAACTTCAAACTAGTTTACCTTTAAAACACTCATTATAACAATACCAATAATATGTTTATGCATTTAAATTATTATTTTACTTATCTAAATTTTTTCTTTATTAGCTATCAAACATGCTATATTTAACCTCTTATTTCGGCCCATGGATATATATTATTCAAGCCAGGAACCCAACACGCGCAACAATGAGATAGTTCGGCAAAGTTGAAGTTTCGTTAATTTGTAGATTTTTATCAGAATGCCCTCTAATATCCTTTAATTTTAATGACATTCAGTGGAATATTTTCGTTACATGATAGCAACATAAAGTACATTTCTCCAAAATGTATATCTGCAACATCAAGAAAGGATGCCTGTACTTTTATCGTACAAACGTTTCTGTTTCAAGAACATGTGTTAAATGTCCACTGATAGCACTTATTGTATAATATGACAGATGTTATTGCACTTTGGAGGTTTTTATTTAAACTTTAAATAAAATTTAGGTTTTACTGCTGTTACATCTGTTATAGAGAGGGAATGGCAATTTATATTATACGTTTGATTTTGTTTGTATATGGATTGACAACTGTGCATTGTAGTATTGAAGATGATAAGGAAAACACACTATCGGACCGTATACAAGAAGCTTTTACTGAAATGAGGTAAGCGTTATTTCATTGGTCAGTTTTATAAAATTTCATTCTTCTATCAATCTTTTTATAAAATTGACAATTCAAAAAAAAAAAAAAGGAATTCTGGTGGAAAATGAAATTTGCCGTCGATAATCTATATAAACAATAAGGAAAACGGTCCAATGTCCATATGTAATTTAGAACAACGGACACGATTTTACATGTTTTATAGAAAGGAACGTACGTAATGACGCGTTAGAAAAGCTCTCGGGATGCTGTTTTGAACATTAATATGATGCATTTTTCCAAGATAAGATTATTAATTTGCATAGTTTGAAATGCTAAGTTTGAAACCACATAAATGTATTTCAATGTTAAATCCGCTTTAAGCGGGAATATAATAGAGTTATGATTGTGTAAGATTTAAATAATACAAGATGAATACAAAATGTTATTACTTATAATAACAAAGCGATTATGAGATAATCTGGATCATCCAAATTTCGAGTTTTCGTCAATATTATAAAAGTATACTTGTTCAGCTCAATCTGTTAATTTGTTTCATATAATTGGATTATAAATATTTGAAGTATTGCCAGATATGTAGCTTTTGTTGCTTATGCAGTTTGAATAAAGACTTATGTGAAACGAATTTGATACGCTGCACTTTTCGGAAGAATTCATATAGCCATATAGGCAAAATTAAAACTGTTCAATAGAATTTCGTAAAACTTATTGTTGCAATATAACTATAGAGTGCTAAATATTCACTTTATATATTCTACATGATTGTTAAATCAATATTTTTCAGGACGTTTCAACATACAATAGAAAATAGACTGAATGAACTAACACACACAGGATGTCAGCAGTGCTTGGTCAATTCGAAAGATATCAACGAATTTTCTAAGCGTCTTGATAATATAAAGCAAGATTACATTAATCGTGTCACAGGTACGATTTACTTTATATAATGACCAAATCGTTAAGAAATTTTAGAATTTTATTTTTCAAATCATAATGACACTTTTATCACCATTTTTTGATTTTCAAGAATAGATAATGTGCGATGTTGAAACGGCGTTAACTGAAGAGTGAGAACGGCAAAAGAGGATAACAAGTCTCATCCGATGTAAATAATCTGAAATCATGTATACTTATAATATTTTCATGAATAATTCAATAACTTTGCATATTTAATAAAGTTCAGTAATATAGTAACATTGCAAATTGTGTGACGTAAATATTGCATCCAATATTGTACACAACTTCAAGCACAATAACAGTTTTTTTTTTTCAAATATTTGGTTTTACTTTTTTCTAGCTATTGAAGAAATGCATCAGCCAGTAAAAGGGGAAAAGGGAGATCCGGGTCGTCCTGGACGCAAAGGAGAACCAGGGCTTGATGGACTTCCAGGAATACCAGGATTGCCTGTATGTTATCTTAAATTTCAAATCAAATAAAAACAATAAATTACAATTCCTTAAACATTTTTTTATGCGCGAGTGCAATCAGACATTATATTGAAGGTAAAACTATATTTAGTTCCATAACTTAAGAGATGTGGAACTTGAATATTATTCATATAACGTAACGTAGGGCATACTTTATTTGAATATTTCAGGTCATAACAAAAGCATCTGAATCAGATTCATGAACAACCCATGAGTATCAGGTCAATTCAGAATCATTTTAAACGTATAATATAAGATTATTTTTTGCAAGCTTCTAGCGAGCAAGCCATTTTTTCTTACAACGTGGTCAATAAATTTAGAAATGAAAATATACAAATGTTCACATACATTTACCTATTCTAAGAACATTTTACAATAAAAAAGAATCGTCATGTTTTTAATTGACACGCTTATACTGAACAGTAAAGTAACTTCTAATTACATTTGTATAACGCATATAACATCCTGTCACAAAAATGCACATACTATCTTAACTAAGTCGTGGTATGTGATAAATAGCATTATTACCTGGGTTATGTGCGGTATAATAAACTAAATTTGACTTCTAATTTGCCGTCAGCAAATCAAATAGCGTCATAAATTACTTTTCCGCTTAACTACGTTTAACAGTTTAATACATTCTCTTTCTATATGCATGTCAGAAAAAAAAGCAATACGTTCCATCAGTTGTTCATGGCTTATCAATTTATTATATAATAACGACTAAGATTTTACAAATCTTCGGGATTATATATCTTTGTTATGACGAACGCACTTTTATTTATAAAGTTCACATTTGCAATCCTATGTAAACATTTTAGTGTTTCGTTCACATAGACACAAAGTGCTCAAGGGAAAGTTTTGTGATGACAATGCGTTCGTTTTCTGTCAGTAGTCGTTATCCAAAATTCCTTAAAATCACTAAGTAGATTTTTTTATAAAACTTCACAGATACGTTCAAGTCTCAATAGGAGTTCAAAAAAAGATATCTCAGAAACTACAATTGACAGTGCTCAGATATTAGGCGTGTTGCCTAACATTGCATTCCGCTACAAAGGTTAAATGTATCCAATCTGATCATAAGAAACTGACTACCAGCAGTGCGTTGTCACTTTCTCGATACCTCTCAAACAGCCAATCATCGGCGAGCAATCATAATTTAAAAATCGATGCGGTTTCTTATTTTTACCGCTGGAAAATCCAGTACTGAGTAGGTTGTTTGCACTATTTCGAGAACAAACATGGCGATGTCCATATAACCGGCAGGTAAACTAGCAAAACAATGTTACCAATAAAAAGTTTATAACATCCAATTTATTTGTTTAAAATTACTTCAGATATTTCTTTCTAACAAAACTCAACAATTTGTTTTCCTTTCACGGACAGCGATATTTTGGGAGTTTTTTGGCAACAGACCCTTCTTAATATAACCTCATACATATTCATAGATATCTCAGAACGAGGCTAACAGGACAAGCTTCGGTATCTGTTTTATGTAAACATTTCACGAATATATGGCCGAAAGATTTTCCTACAGTGGTAGAGATCTTCATGTTGTACATTTACTACATACTTGTTGAAAACTATATTTAATATTACGTACAAAAATCTCTTCGAGATAACTAAATCAACAGCAGGGTTTAATTTATACTTTATACAGTAAAGGATAGACATGTATTCAAGACCTGATAAGTGAATTAAAGTATATAATTCCAAGTAATTTCTTATATTACTTGTCAGTATAAACATCAGGTTTAAACTCTTTGCAACTTATACAGACATTATCTACGTTATCAGTGTTTTATTGCTAACCTATCTAAACACATGTTGGTCAAGAGTACATAAAGCAATTAACTGATACATGTAATAGATGTAAACAGTTGGATGCTGCATGAATTCTGTATCATACTTCCCCAAAATTTAGCTATTGAAATAAAAAATAAGTTTTATTTACTTTGTATTTTAAAGTAAAAAATTCTGGATGACTTTCTTTTAATTTTACAGACAGCCTTATTAAATCAAAATAATATTTTGTTTAGACATGACATGCCTGTCTGACATTTCTGTCTTGGATTTTAAGTACCATAGCACATGAAGTTGTTTATAGCAATGTAAAATGCATTTCAAGTTCAGTAAGGAACGTAAACCCTTTATATTAGCAACTATTTTAATTACTAACAGTATACAATACTTAGTATATAACCAATTACAATCATTTAATTGCAAATATCAGTCAAATTTTAAGACGAAGTCGAGGTATCATTAGATTTTTGCTCTTGTTCAATTAGTTCGATTTGAGTACTGTGTGGCCATATTGTTGGAACCCTGTACTAGCTGGTACATAACAAGAACCGGTTGAACCGGGTGATGCTCCCCGAGAAGGTTCTGGACACAGGAAGGTATAAAAAAATGAATAAAGGGCAAAAACTCCAAAATTAGGCAGAGCGGAGTTATGATTTTTTGCACTGCACTTCTATCAAATGAGATCTATCTATCTATAAAGTTTCCTGATGATATCAGAGTTATGTCCTGGAAAAAATTCAAAGTGCAAAAATGAACAAAGGGCAATAACTCCAAAATTAGACCAGGCTTTGTTTAGGTTCTTTAAGCATTTAACCATTGACAAAAGTCAAAAAGTAAAATTAACCAAAAGGGCAATAACATCAAAATAAGGCAAGGCAGAGTAATAATTCTTAAGCACTGCACTTCCACCAAATGAGACCTATCTATCTAAAAAAGTTCATGTTGATTTCCCTTATAATTTTAGAGTAATGTCCCGGACAAAGTTCAAAGTGTGAAAATCAACAAAGGGGGATAATTAAAAAATTGGCATAGCACAGTTACGGTTCTTGTGCACTGCATACCTACTCAATGAGATCTATCTACCTTCAACGTTTCATGTTGATACCGCTTATAGTTTTACAGTTATGTCCTGGACAAAGTTCAAAGTGTAGAAATAAACAAAGGGGGATAATTAAAAAATTCGGCAAGGCAGAGTTACGGTTCTTGTGCACTGCACACCTACTCAATGAGATCTATCTACCTACAAAGTTTCATGTTGATACCTCTTATACATTTAGAGTTAGTTATGTCCCGAACAATGTTCATAGTGTCAAAATAAGCAAAGGGGGATAATTAAAAAATTAGGCAAGGCACAGTTACGGTTCTTGTTTACTGCACACCTACTCAATGAGATATATCTACCTACCTACATAGTTTAATGTTGATACCTATTATAGTTTAAGAGTTATTTCCTGGACAAAGTTCAAAGTGTAAAATAAACAAAGGGGGATAATTTAAAAATTAGGCTAGGCAGAGTTACAGTTCTTGTGCAATGCACACCTACTCTAAAGGATCTGTCTACTTACAAAGTTTCATGTTGATACCTCTTATACTTTTAGAGTTATGTCCCGGACAAAGTTCAAAGTGTAAAAATAAACAAAGGGAAATAATTCAAAAATTAAGCAAGGCAGAGTTACGGTTTTTGTGCACTGCACACCTACTCAATGAGATATATCTACCTACAAAGTTTCATGTTGATACCTCGTGTTGTTTTAAAGTTATGTCCCGGACAAGAAAAGGGGACGGACGGACAGACGGACGGACGTTCTCACAGGACAGTAATTATGTGGCTACTCTATTGTTCTCTCTATTGTTCTTTTTAGCCACACAAAAGAAAAATAGCCACATAAAAGCATTACGGAATGAATGACATCAAAGAGAAAGAACAGTTACCTATTGTCCCTCTAGCCACATAATTACTCTCATGTGAGTGCGGACGGACGGAAAGACGGACGGACGGACGGACAAGGCGGCGACTATATGCTCCCCCGAACAAGGCTCTTCCAGAAGATGATGCCTTGACTTAAACCAACCCAAGACATTCCATGTACTTAGGGGACTGAACATTCAAGCAAAACCTGTGCAAGACTTTGCAGTCGGAGGTTATTAGGAAAGGCAGCACCGAGGTTTAGGATTCCCTTTGACAGTCAAAGAAACATTCACTTATCAGTATATAATGCAATAAGAGGACAATGTATTAAATGTAATTAACCTGATGACATATTCCCGGCAGCTGTACCATATATGTAACAAAGCACAAAGTTAAAACAAAATATTGCGATGATTTCTTTTTAATTATTTATTAAAATTTAAGACGCAAATGACTTAACAAATGGTCCTTTAAATTAGCATATTATATATTTTAATTAAAATATGCTAAAACATTTCGTCTACTTGTTACATCCCTCTGTTCCTACCAGTCAAGCTGATTGTTTTGCTTGTTTCATGATAATCGCTCACGCCCCCACCTCACCTTATCTAAATATTGTGCAAATTGCTATTTTTTTTGTATGAATCGACATCTGTAAATCCTGGACTAGAAGGACAGAAAATATTTCTTGCTGTACACTTTCAGATCATGATTATGTAGTTTGTGGCCGCTTGCATTTGTGCCACGCGCTTTCCACCCTCCCCCTAAAAATAAAATAAAAATGAAAAATATAAAACGCAATTATAGTAATGCGCTTGTGTTGCCTTTTGATGGTTCCTATAAATTTTGTTGAAATACAGGAAGCCGATTTCGAAAAATAGTAGAAAAATGAATATATCTGTATACATACTGCATAATTAATGAGTGGTGTTATCTAATACTTACAATGTACTTTCATAACATATTCTGTCCATAACATTATAAAGTGTATTATTTATAAATATTCTCAGCATTTTTTTTCAGACTTTTTTTTGTGCGATAACTGCTTTGATGTGAAGTATGTACATCATAAGTGAAGCCGTCCATTAAGTAAGGGCAACATAGTTTAAGATATAAGAGATATTTGTTCAGTTTAGTGGAAGATGGATTGTTATTTCACTTGAGATCAAACCAATCAATAGTTTTACTATTGGCTAATGCTGTCACGAGTAAATATATTGATTTTTATGATCACAAGTGAAATAATATTTGTTATTATTTCACTTGTGGTCATAAAAATCAACTGCTGCCACGAGTGAAAATATATTGATTATTATTATAACAAA